CTGTTTTGGTAGTCAGTCAGTGATGGTCTGGGGAGGCATATCCATGGAGGGACACACAGACCTCTACAAGCTAGACAATAGCACCATGACTCTCATTAGGAATCGGGATGAAATCATTGGACCCTACACTAGTGCAGTAGGTCCTGGGTTCCTCCTGGTGCACGGCAATGCCTGGCCTCATTTGCCGAGAGTATGCAGGCAGTTCCTGATAAAGGATTTGATACCATTGAATGTTCCACAAGCTCGCCTGACCTAAATCCAATAGAACACTTCTGTGATATCATGTTTCGGTCCAACTGATGCCGCCAGGTTGCACCTCAGACTGTCCAGGAGCTCAGTGATGCCCTGGTTCAGATCTGAAAGGAAATACCCCAGGTATCCATCCATTGTCTCATTAGGAACATGCCCTAACATTGTCAGGCATGCATACAAACATGTGGGGGGCCATACAAACTACTGAGTACCATTTTGAGTTGCTGCAATGAAATTTCAGCAAAATGGACAAGCCTGCTGCATCATTTTTTGACTTTGATTTTCAGAGTGTCTTTGAATTCAGTCCTCTGTAGGTTGATAATTTTCATTTCCATCAAATGATGGGGCATCCTTAATTCCTAACACATTACCCAATCCATATCAGTATAGATATCCAGCATGATAGTTTTCCCCATTGAGATCTGATGTGTTTCTTAAATTTTTTGAGCAGTGTATAAAGATGTGCAACACACCTTTTAAGCCTTTCTTAGATAAGCCACAATTTCTGAGTAGGAAAACAAGCACATTGCATCTGGAAGTAAAACAAGAATGCATATTATTAGGAGATTTTAAGATAGAAAAATGTTACAAATTAGCAACACAGATATTAAGATTGTTTAGCAGGCTGCTGTATGTCATCCATAGAACAAGCAGATTGCACCTTGCAAAACACACTTGGGTTATTTTTTTTCCAGACAGAAAAGGGAAAAATAGAACTGCTTACTTTTTAATGAAAGGGACACTTTAAGGATGATATTAAGCCTATTGCAGCCAAAAATATTATGCAAAAGTGCGTATTTTCAGACACATGGTTGACAAATTGTATATTTACCATAACAGAAGGCCATCATTTTTCACTGAAGACAGTATAGGAGGTAGGGAGTAGGCAAATTTTATCCATAAATGTTAAATGAAATTGCATTGCTTCCAAAAGCATTTTATGAAATAACTGTTATAGTTAGCTGAACTGAATCATGTTTGTGTGGATGTTTTGGGGGTGATAAAGAGCATCTTTCATTCAGAAATTGTAACTGAAAGTTTATTTTTCCAAATACACAATATGAAAACATTAGAGGCATAGATTCACAACATTTTTAGTGGGAGCAATTCATGAGGCACATAGTAGGCACATAAATCACAATACTTTTTTTTACACAAACCTAAATAATAACTGCACATATGTGTGAAGAGGAGAATCATATATCTTTAAGAGAAGAAAATTTAATAAGCAGGGAGAAGTCCCATTTCATCCATAAACAGTCAATGAGACTGTTAAGCTATAAATTATACAAATTCATTTTTTTCATAGGAGGCAATTCAAAAGGAAAAGAGCATGTAGACTCTAGTTGACATTAGAAAAAATAAAATTGTATTCCTTCTGTGCCAAAGGAGCACCCATAGGCACCCAAATTCAAAGGTTGGGAGTGGAAACTTGTGGTTTTTATGTTATAAATCCCTGGTAGACAACGCCACTTTAAAGTATGTATCCTTAATAATTCTAGATGGTTCCAGTGTACTCAGGTAGATCCAAAAGTTGGAGAAAAACAGCATGATATAGAATGCGTTAAAAGCCTAACAAATGCAGAAACATTAAAGTGTGGTCCATGTTTAATGGCGATGCACTGTAGTGGAATAAAAACATTAATGGCCCACACAGTAGTTACCAGTAATGGCAGAAGGAGGTGTTAATGGTGGCTGGGTGTGTTCAAGGGAGAAAGCAGATGGCAGTGGTGAGAGGGATTTATATTTGGCTTGCAACAGTGAAAGCAGATGTCTACATTATACAGAAAATCAATAACTTTGGTGGTATCCCCGAAAATGTAATCAATGCCATCTGCATCAGGGGCTTGGTGGTTGCTGCAGATCCTGGACTGGTTCATTTTAACAAATGTCAGCCAATTGACTGTATATGGGTAGAGATTTACTCTTATCTGTCACAAAGCCCCTTGTATCACTATATTTACGTTCAGAGAGAACCCTGGCAGCAAAGTGATCCAGCAGCTTGATTGCATAGTGGGTTAGTTCTGGCCATTAGTCCATTCTCATTACCCATGAATCAAGCGAGTCATCTGTCCTAAGGTTGTCAACATTCCCCACTGATCCTACGTAATCTTCCACCATATTATAAAACCACTGGTAATAGCTGCTGGCAACATACAACCTTGGGCTCTGGGTTGCGAAAATACTTCTGAAGGTCCCAGTTGGGCAACCACTTTCATCTCTGCTCCTCTTTTCACTCATAGGAATACCAAATCACATTTCCCATAAGACAATATACTGCCAGCCTCTGTAAATAAGGTCCACAGATTTCTCCACAGCATGTCCCTTAGTTGTTTCATGTTTGCTCAATCTGTGAGGACAGGATGAGCTCTGCAACTTTTCTTTTGTAATGTGGATCCAGCTGTCAATCAGTGAGGGTCTCTCTCTTTGATGCCATGAATTCTATAATCCTTTCCTTTCACAGGGTCTTGAGTATGAGGGAACTCATGCACAGCAAATTACTAGAAGTGGAGGAACCTGAATCCTTGGTGTCAATGAGGATGACATCATCTCCTCCTTCTCCTTAATGCCTCCCCCCCCCCCCCATGTCAACCATGCTCCTCCTTCTCCTCTTCCTCCCCCTCTTCCTACTCCACCATTGCCTGCTGTGGTCTCACAGGGACAACAGCTACATAAAGTGGGTCCTGAGATATCAGGAAGTCCTCCTCTTTCTTCTGCTGCTCTGCTTCATGTGTTCAGTTTATAAATGTGTAGCACCCCTCAGGGATGTCCTCAGGATAGTCAGGGGGAGCTAGTTGCCAATTGTTAGTGAGAAAGGCTGAGCAGCAGCCTAGGGAAATAGTCAGCAGGGTCAAATTTAGGTCAGTGCTAAGAGGCTCTGCAGGTCAGTTCCCTGATACCTCCCCCTACTCTAAAATCTTGGAGAATATTCTAGAAGCAGTGAGTGGGGGTGAGGAGGGACTGGCTTGCTCACTTAGAGGACTCTTGTCAACCTCCAAGCAGGAGGTTTGGCATGGGCCCAGGGTAGCCTTTAAGTGTGACTGAGCCTGCTTCAGCAGCAGGAGAGTTTGAATGGAATATTCAGAGGAAAAGATGCAGCAGCCTGAGAGGGGACCCAGTGGTAAGGGGCCTACCTACAGGCTGGGACCTGGACAGGAGGATTGCTCAACTCTTGAGTCCCTGGAGGGAGCACTACCTGTGGAGCCAGGAAAGGAGCCAGCCCAGCAGAAGGGCGCCACCTACCTATACCAGCTCACAGGCAAAGAATGAGTGAGTAATCCCCGGGCCAGCTAAGTGGAAAAGAGCACTCTGTTGGGAAACCTGATTACCTCCTTACCCGGGACTGTTCAACTATAAGTGGAAGTCCCCTTTCCCATCGATTTCCTCCTGACAGCTGGGTAAAGAAGAGGATTTATCTTTGGTTTGGGTGGTACACCAGGAGAGGCTGAAGAGCTCTCCAAGAAGAGTTTTGCTGTGTAAAGACTTTTATATAGTTGCCAGAAAGTTGTCTGTTTACTGTTCCTTGTGTATCCCACACACCCCTTATCCCAAGTTAAATTCCCCTAATAATACTTAAAAATATAAGCTTAAGGACTGTTCACTGTCTCTGGAATGCAAGTCTGTGTAAAATGCATGTTGCCTGGCTGTGCAGGACTATAGGCAGACCCAAATCTTCAGAAACTTCTAAGTGTTGGGTAGTGCTACAAATGGCACACAGTGCGTGCTCAGAAGGAATGGTGTTGCTGATGCCTGCATTGTCATGGCTCATGCATCCTGTAAGAGGAGTCATTGATGTGGAAAATAGGATCACAGCTCCTGTTCTTTTGCCATACTCACACAGGTACTCACTGATGTCATGCTGATGCCTCTGCAGCCCTGAAGCTTGGTCAAAGTAAAGTTTCACCAGATTGACATGTCACAAATCAGAAATTTTGTGGGCAGTTGGATTTCCTGCTGAATTTCACCCAGTCGAACACTGGTTGGGCTAGGAATGGCTACACCACTAGATTGAGGACATGTGTCAGAACAAGGCATGTGTGTGAACTTTCTCTGCTTAAGGACATACAGCAAGTTGGCACTCACGTGCTTTCCTGGCTCAAGATGGTATGGGGTTAACCAGGGGCGGACTGACCATTTGGAAACTCGGGCACTGCCCGAGGGCCCGGGGTCAGTAGGGGGCCCCATGAGATGCCCCTGGTACCTTTTTCTTAGCCTTTTTTGAGTTTGGGCAAGGACACAGGGGCCCCATGATCCCCTATTGCCCGGGGGCGCCATGAGTTGTCAGTCCGCCCCTGGGTTCTGCATTAATTTTTTATTTTAATTTAAATTTTTATTTTCATTTTAGCTTTATATTTATATTTGACCATGTCTTTTGACATGAGCCCCTCCTTTATCATCATATTTTGCACTTTTCATGAGTTGTCAGTCCGCCCCTGGGGTTAACATCTCTGAGTCTGCGACTGCTGCAAGACTAACAGAATTGCTGTTCCTGTGTGGATTCTGTTCCATAGGCACACCAGCTACAACACTGTGTAGCATACTTTTACCTGAGCCACTGCAAGTGTGTAGATATGGAATACTGCAACTTTTCTGACACTCATTTACAACATGCATGTTACAAGTCAGTGATCAAAAGTGTTTAAGCAAGGCAAGATCAGGAAACTAGCATTTTTCAGAAGAGACCAACAGAGCACATATGGATTATATATAGGGCAGCTGATCTAGCTTTTTCGTGCCTCTCCCTGCAGTCACAGATTACTGCAATAATGAATCTTTGCTTGTCAATGGCAGGGAACAATAGATCACTATAATAAGGCTGGTCATACACCATGCAATTTGCTGTCCAATTTCTGCCCAATTTCCTTTAGATTTACCTTCAACTATGTAGTACAAGAACCTGCCTAATTGGATACTTTTGAAAGTGTTGTTAGGTTTGACATCATATTATATGGTTTTTGGTAAATCTAAACCAAAACTCTCAAGAAAAGTGTATAATGTATGGCCAGCCTAAGTGATCTGTTGCTGCAGAGGTGCATGGGAAAGGCTAGGTTAGTCTTCTCCAACCCCAGATGCAAACCTCCCATTAAGAAAAGTGTAAAAAAAATAAAATAAACCAACCAATATTAAAAAATGATAAATAAATAAGTAAAAATATCCTCTCTCCTCAATAACTTGTATGTCCTAACACTTGTGGTAGATGTTCACACAACAAAGCAAATGTTATCCAGACACCTAGCAACCACAAACCTGTGGAATAATTTGGTCTATGGTTTTTGACTATGCAAACCCAAATAAATGTTATTACACACACTATTTTTCCCTGTATATTGCAAAGTAGACGCAAACAGGGAAAAAAAACTACTATATATGAAAGTCTTTTGACTTTAACCAGTTGCCCTCCAGATGATTTACCCCCCCCTTCCTGACCAGGCCATTTTTTGTGTTATGGCGTTGTGTTAATTTAACTGACAATTGCGTGGTCATGCAACGCTGCAACCAAATGAAATTTACGTCCTTGTTTTCCCATGAATTGAACTTTCTTTTGGTGGTATTTGATTGCCTGTGCATTTTTTATTTTTTGTGCTATAAAAAAAAGACACAATTTTGAGAAAAAAAACTATATTTTTGACTTTTTGCTATCAAACATGTCCAGTAAAAAAAATTTAAAAATCTAATTTTGTCATAAATTTAGGCCAAAAGTGTATTTTGCTACATGACTTTGCTAAAAAAAAATCCCAAAATGTGTAAATTAATTGGTTTATGTGAAAGTTATAGTGTTTACAAATGGCGGTATATATACTGGTATTTTCTTTTTCTTTTTACTAGCAATGGCAGCAATCAGCAACTTATAGCGGGACTGCGGTGGACATTTTGACACTGGAGGGAACTGACTTGGTGTCATTGACATCCTCAGTGACGCCAATACAGTGGTCAGTGCTGAAAAAAAGCACTGACACTTTACTAATGGCACTAGGCAGGAAGGGGTTAACATGAAGGGTGATCAAAGGGTTAACTGTATTCAGGGAGTGTTTTGCTAGGGGGCTGTGTCACTGTGCTTCACTGTAATCCCACTGCTCTGGATGTCTATGCTGTGCACAGATTTTCAGTGCAGTGTCCCCGAGCTGACAGGGAGGAGAACTGTTAGTAAACAAAACAGTCCTCCACCCCGTCAGAGATCTTCGGAAATCAACGGGCGCCAGTGGGTAATTTCTGGCCAGGACCCGGTGATTCACAGCCGCGGCCGCGAATGGTGGTGCCCCCTACCCAGAAATGCAAAATCACGTATATATACATGATTTTGCGCACCCATGCCACCCTGTAGCAGTATTTCTGCTATAAGGCGGACAGGAAACAGACTTTCCCTCCAGAGGATTTTTCCCCTTCCTGGCCAGGCCATTTTTTGCGATACAGCGCTGCGTTACTTTAATTGACAATTTCACAGTTATGCAACACGGCATTCAAATTAAATTATTAACTTTTTTCCCACAAATGGAGCTTTTTTTTGGTGGTATTTGATTGCCTCTGTGTGTTTTATTTTTTGTGCTATAAACAAGAAACGACTGACAATTTTGAAAGAAAAAAACAATATTTTTGACCTTTTGCTATAAAACATATCCAGTAAAAGCATTTAAAAAATCAAATTTCGTCATAAATTTAGGCCAAAATGTATTCTGCTACATGTCTTTGCTAGAGAAAAAAATCCAAATACGTGTAAAGTAATTGGTTTACATGAAAGTTATATCATCTACAAATGGCGTTTTTTTTATACTAGTAATGGTGGCGATCAGCGACTTATAGCGGAACTGCGGCTGGCATTCTGACACTGGGGGGGAACTGACTAACTGCCACTGACATCCCCAGTGACACCAATACAGTGATACACTGTACTAATGACATAATGATATCATACAGATAGTTTTTACTATATGGCCATAATTTCTTCTATGGCTGTGGTGGTTTGGATTAGCCCTTATATGTGCCTCTTATATTTTGTTTTTTGTTTACTAAGTCTAGCATTTTGGAGGGACTTCTAGTTGGGAGTGGACTTTGGTCTCTTCCCATCCTATATCTGGCCCGCTGCTTCGGCATGGACTGATGGGCACTGTATCTGCCTATGTTTTATCAGCTGACCTTCATTGTCACCAGTAGTATTTTTCTGAGCATTCACCAAATAGAAATTAGGTACCCTTAGAGGGCCTGTGATGAAAGTGGTTGTACATTATTCATATATGTGATATTTTTGTATATTGATTTATGAGTATATACTATTTGTGACAGTATGGCGATCTGTCACTCAGGATTCTCAACAAGGCAGGTTGAGGGGCTCCAGGGTAAAGGTTTGATATGGAGGAAAGTGGCTTTTCACTTTCCTCCTTTGTTTGTAAGGTCCATTTTGGGAGCTGGAGCCTGGAGATTTCAAAGCGATTTGGGAGGGATGAAATCTCCAATCCTGGGACCAGGTTTTGGGATAGGCCAGGAGACTGATTGCACAGGTGTCTCTCTCTTATGACTAAGTCCCGGATGTGACGAAACGCGTCAAGAGGAAGTGATGTCATACGCAAGGAGCAGGAACCGGAAGTGTCACAGCGGCCATCTTTGTTGAGGAATCACTGGACACTCGAGTGTGGACTGCCTGGGAAACTGTGGGAACTGCCTGGTAATCCCCACTCAGTGGGGTTTGTCCATAAATTGGTTGTATTACTTATACTACTTATGTTTTCAACTCCAAATACAAGTGGATTCATTAAAACTTTAAACATATATGGAGGTACGTCATGCTTCATAGACTGATGTATGGGGAAGGCATGGTAATATCATCTTAACAGGAAGCGAAGGAGGAGAGGAGGATAAAGTTCCTTTGGAGGATTTCCAGTTAATATATATAAAAGGCGTGAGTTCTATCTACTGTTGGTAAGGGTATATTGGCCTTACTCACTAGAAGTGTCACGTGTGGGTAGGAATCTCACTAAGTGGATCACTTCATTATAATTTATGAGCACGAGTGTTTTATTACCTTTCTTTTTTGGAAGGTTCTCATAAGTGTTTAATATATATAAATTTTTCACTTAAAGGTTGCACAATTTATGATACACATTTGTGTGTGCATGCATTATATATATATATATATATATATATATATATATATATATATATTTTTTTTTTTTTTTTTTGTGATATTATGGTAATGCACTATTGTGAGTTTCTTTATTTTTGAGGTTCTTCACTACAATCAACACTGCAAGAAATACACTTTTCTATTTATTTTTTAATTTTTCTTCTTTATTGAGACACTGGACTTTATATTATTATTGGGTTTAAATCACAGAGACACTGGATTTTATGATTTTGCTGTTACACAATTAGTTGGATGATTTATTGAAAGAGGGTAGATTCCTGTTTGGATCTATTGATTTTAGCCCTTATATGTGCCTCTTATATTTTGTTTTTTGTTTACTAAGTCTAGCATTTTGGAGGGACTTCTAGTTGGGAGTGGACTTTGGTCTCTTCCCATCCTATATCTGGCCCGCTGCTTCGGCATGGACTGATGGGCACTGTATCTGCCTATGTTTTATCAGCTGACCTTCATTGTCACCAGTAGTATTTTTCTGAGCATTCACCAAATAGAAATTAGGTACCCTTAGAGGGCCTGTGATGAAAGTGGTTGTACATTATTCATATATGTGATATTTTTGTATATTGATTTATGAGTATATACTATTTGTGACAGTATGGCGATCTGTCACTCAGGATTCTCAACAAGGCAGGTTGAGGGGCTCCAGGGTAAAGGTTTGATATGGAGAAAAGTGGCTTTTCACTTTCCTCCTTTGTTTGTAAGGTCCATTTTGGGAGCTGGAGCCTGGAGATTTCAAAGCGATTTGGGAGGGATGAAATCTCCAATCCTGGGACCAGGTTTTGGGATAGGCCAGGAGACTGATTGCACAGGTGTCTCTCTCTTATGACTAAGTCCCGGATGTGACGAAACGCGTCAAGAGGAAGTGATGTCATACGCAAGGAGCAGGAACCGGAAGTGTCACAGCGGCCATCTTTGTTGAGGAATCACTGGACACTCGAGTGTGGACTGCCTGGGAAACTGTGGGAACTGCCTGGTAATCCCCACTCAGTGGGGTTTGTCCATAAATTGGTTGTATTACTTATACTACTTATGTTTTCAACTCCAAATACAAGTGGATTCATTAAAACTTTAAACATATATGGAGGTACGTCATGCTTCATAGACTGATGTATGGGGAAGGCATGGTAATATCATCTTAACAGGAAGCGAAGGAGGAGAGGAGGATAAAGTTCCTTTGGAGGATTTCCAGTTAATATATATAAAAGGCGTGAGTTCTATCTACTGTTGGTAAGGGTATATTGGCCTTACTCACTAGAAGTGTCACGTGTGGGTAGGAATCTCACTAAGTGGATCACTTCATTATAATTTATGAGCACGAGTGTTTTATTACCTTTCTTTTTTGGAAGGTTCTCATAAGTGTTTAATATATATAATTTTTCACTTAAAGGTTGCACAATTTATGATACACATTTGTGTGTGCATGCATTATATATATATATATATATATATATATATATATATATTTTTTTTTTTTTTTTTTTGTGATATTATGGTAATGCACTATTGTGAGTTTCTTTATTTTTGAGGTTCTTCACTACAATCAACACTGCAAGAAATACACTTTTCTATTATTATTTTTTAATTTTTCTTCTTTATTGAGACACTGGACTTTATATTATTATTGGGTTTAAATCACAGAGACACTGGATTTTATGATTTTGCTGTTACACAATTAGTTGGATGATTTATTGAAAGAGGGTAGATTCCTGTTTGGATCTATTGATTTTAGCCCTTATATGTGCCTCTTATATTTTGTTTTTTGTTTACTAAGTCTAGCATTTTGGAGGGACTTCTAGTTGGGAGTGGACTTTGGTCTCTTCCCATCCTATATCTGGCCCGCTGCTTTCGGCATGGACTGATGGGCACTGTATCTGCCTATGTTTTATCAGCTGACCTTCATTGTCACCAGTAGTATTTTTCTGAGCATTCACCAAATAGAAATTAGGTACCCTTAGAGGGCCTGTGATGAAAGTGGTTGTACATTATTCATATATGTGATATTTTTGTATATTGATTTATGAGTATATACTATTTGTGACAGTATGGCGATCTGTCACCCAGGATTCTCAACAAGGCAGGTTGAGGGGCTCCAGGGTAAAGGTTTGATATGGAGAAAAGTGGCTTTTCACTTTCCTCCTTTGTTTGTAAGGTCCATTTTGGGAGCTGGAGCCTGGAGATTTCAAAGCGATTTGGGAGGGATGAAATCTCCAATCCTGGGACCAGGTTTTGGGATAGGCCAGGAGACTGATTGCACAGGTGTGTGCAGGCCTTTAGAGAAAGTCAGGATCAGAGTTCTGGGCTCCACCCCGGCAGATAGCAGTCAGGTGGGCTTCACCTAGGAGAGGTGGGAGCCAAAAGCAGCAAGGGGCTGCTAGAGACTAGCTGTGTGCTAGTGGCCAGCTGTGAGCAAGAGCAATAATTCTTGAAGAAGTCTGCAGGAGGCAGACATCAAGCTGAGTGTAAGCCAGGAGGCTGAATCATTGTTTTGTTTGATGGTGGATACCCCTGTGCGGGAAACCTTTATGTTATGGGACATTCTTTAAATAAAAGTGGGCTAAAAAGGCCCTGAAAAATAAAGCGAGTAGCTGCGTGCATTTAAAAGCTCTACCACGTTGAAGCGAGTTCCCACATATTATATTGTCTTTTTTCAGCAACCACATTATTCTCTATCTTCTGAAACACGTTGGGTTAACACCTACATCAAGTGCACTTTTCCCCTATGCCATATGATTCTGCTACATTTTATACATTATATATCATCTATAAAAGAGTTGATTTTTTTTTTACATGTGTGGGGGGAGTGACAGGGGAGGCAAAACTGATTTCTTCATATTGTTTTCAGGGGTTATGCACCCTAAAATATGTTAATATAATAAACATTTCTGTGTTTTATGATTTAGTTCTTGTGAGTTTTTTTCTCAGAGGGAGAACCTCAGTTCCGTTAAAATCCCAGTACTCTTCTTTTTTGTTTTGCAACATTTACACTATGGGGATGAGGATCTGAAATAGTCAGCTGAACCTATCATCATTATAATCCAAAACAGTCACAATTATTGTGACAATTGTGAAGATGTGCACTTGCTAATGCACTTGCTAATGCAAAAACCTCCACTGATCGCTTAGGGATGTGCTTTCACCTTCTGATTACAAATGTCAAAAAGCATGTTTCTTTAAACCAGAAATCAAGAGAGAGCTTATGGATGGTCTCAGCCTCAGTAGTCCTCAGATGCAATGCAGCCCATGAAGATCATCAAGACACATCTATGGAATCACTGACCTGAGCAAAATAATTTTGCACCAAAGGCACAGCCTCTCATGGATACACCGAATACCACACTCAGAAAAAAATATAAAGGGAACATAGTGCTTACTTCAATCATTTTATTTAAAACATTTACTGTAAAATCACAATCACATGGGTGTATTAAAGATGAATGCTTCACATTAAAAATCAAACAGGGGAAGAAGCACTGCTTAGAAAGTTTAAAAAATGTCAAGCAGTTAAATACCCCTTTTCAGACATTTAGCCAGGCAGGCCATCAAAGAGGGGGAAGTGGGAATGTATCCCCTCCTGAAATATACCAGGCCACATGCCCTCGATATTGTGTGGGTACATTGCAGGGGGGATGACAGAAACCCCCCTTGTTAGGCACATTTTCCCCATGTTGGGAGGGACTAGGGCCTAATCTGCACATCCTGCCCCTAAAAATAGAGACTTATTGGAATATGGAAGGCTTTAGGTCCACATACTTAATAGGGGACAAGATATGGGGATGTGGACCTTGTCTCCATCAACATGGGGATATACTGCCTTGTACAAGGGTGGGGGGGGGGGGGGTATGTGGCCTGGTATGGTTTAGGAGAGAGACAGCAGACATGTTGCCTCCCTTTCCTGACCATTCAGGTTGCATGCCTCAATAATATTATTTTATGAATTTTAGGGGACCCCATGCTGTTTTTTTTTCTTAAAGGGACAGTATGCAGTGCTTTTAAAAACTCTAAGGATCCCCTAAAATTCAATAAGTCCCTTATCCAGGAATACAACCTGTGTGGCCAGCGAGAGTGTACCCACCTGCCAAAGTTGACCTGCCGCAAAAATGATCCTTTGATGACAATGTTGTGCCTCTACTTTTCCTGTCACTATTCACAGATCCTTATTAGTTTTGGAACGTCTACATTTGCTTGATGGCATAATTCAGAAACTTTGGCACTATTGTTAACACTCCAGCAGCACAAAGAAACTAACATGCCATTTAGTGGTTCTACAGATACTGACGGCAAACAAAACACAGCTGCTGTTTGTGTAGCACTACCTGCATAAGGGATGTTGGATATTACTTGTCCTCTCTTGTGCTGCCATGACCCTGGGAACTTCCCAGCCCTTCTGACACTATAGGTTCGGACATGTTGTATATCCATTTAAATGAACCAGAGACACAATACAACTGAACACAGCAGACTTCTGTATTGATTAAGGCAAACAATGGATTTGAAGGTGCCAGTCAGAAAAAAACCCTGGGATAGCATCCAAGACTGGCTGGGTGAACCACCAGATGATTAGACACTTTAAGGCAAAGAAAACAGATGCTATTGTTCATCAGTAACTATACAAAGAATGCTGTACACTAGATATTTGAATGTACCTGGGGGGGGGGGGGTTATTGGAAAGGGGCTTGACTGTAGGGGACCCTTAACTTACGCTGGGCAGTTAAGCTCTGTTTGGGCCAACACACACCCTACAGATAAAAGGATAAGAGTAGTCCAAGTGTCAGGCCTGAACACAGTCTTCAGCGGCATGTTGGAGCTCAGTAAGCTGGAGGAAATATCCGCAGTGTGGAAAGATATTTAAGCAATCATCAAACAGGTAATGGGTATATCAATAGCAAGTTTCCTTTATGATTCAAGTTATAATGTCTGCATGCAGTGTTCATATGCTGAGTGTTACTGACGAGAGAAGGGTTTGGGCTCAAGCCTGCTCACCAGATCCTGGAAGTAACCGGCACATATTGGAAGCAATGCAGGGTCTGCACTCCAGCCAGTGGAAAGATGGATGCAATGGGTCAGTTGGATCTGCTACCCACAGCATGATGACAGGGAATCCTCTAAATCTGTACAGCGGTGTAGGCTCACCTTTGCAGGGACAGGAACTGTTCACAGGCTCTGGGTAGGCCACAGTCGCAACAGCAGGATTGCAGCTCTGGTGCACGCTAGGGAGAGATAGTACAAGCCTGCTGAACCCAGCTATTAAATAGCCTTTCCCATCATCCCCCTGCTGGATTAGCAGCTTGATAGGAGATGTAGTCTAAGGATTGCTCTGGCTGAACACAAGACTACAAATCCCACTGTCCTTTGCTTCTCACTTAGGAATATGATGCAAGCGGCCCAAGTATAACACTAGAGGGAGAACTGAACAGTCTGTAGCAATAAGGGTAATGTCCACTGCATTGATTTTATGGTAGCTAGCACCTGGCTACATTTGTTTACAAACATCTGCCACAGGTTCAGGCAGGTAAGCTGGCCATATTTTCACAGAACTGCAAACAGGTCCCTACAAATGGACAACACATGAACAAACAGCAAAAAGTTACTGAAATTTCTGTAAATTTTGAATTCCAGTATATCAGTCAGCTGTCATGTCTATGATGGTCTACAATCCTCTAAGGTAATTCATTATTATATGTAAATGAATTACTGTCTTCCTAGCTAAATGCTGCTGGACTACCAAAAACATGTCAAAATGTAGAGTTAATGCTCAATCATCTAAGCATTTAGTCATAAAATATTTGCAAATATATTTCCACAACACAATAATACAGAGATTGATTGATTAAAATGGGCATTGATTCTCTAATTATGCTCCTGAGGGTAAGGAAGTTCTATTTTCCTTTGTTTATATTCCTTTTCAATCCACTTGTCATACTTTGATGTTATTTCCCTGTACAATTTGTGTAAATTGCTTGGAACAATGTTTGCAGTATGTGACTAACAAAATAGGGAATGATATTCATACATTCATTACTTGCTTAAAAAAGGTGTCAAATTGCCTAATTAAATGTCTGATATAGTAATTAGGTGTCAGGTATCTTGATTAGCTTTCCACTGAAATGAACCAGCAAATATTTGAACCTCCATAGAGAATGCAATGTATGGTATCTCCAGATTATCATAAATATCAAGGCAAAGGCATAGAGCATGCACAGAGGAAAAGTGATTTTGGAAGACAAAAATATCTGGAAGTAACAGAACCAATGCAACATAAATATATTTCAAAGTCTAATTCCACTTTGTTAAACTTACACACAACTAATATTAATTTGCATGTGTCAAATGTTCATGAACCCTTTATTATTTTTCTTTTCCAACAGTGCTTGCTATTGAGGGAGCTGTAGCTGACTATTGACACTTCCATTCTACAGAGTGTTCTAAAGACTGAGGATGAAATAAGTCTACAGTAAAAGGAAACATTAAAAATCAGATTCTATGGATTTATCTTTCAACTTTTACGACTTTCAGATTACAGTGACAAAAAGTATATTTACAGTGCGCTCTAGCATCTTGGTAACTCAGATAACCTCTAATGCACACAGTATTTTAACCACTCGCCCTCCAGAGGATTTACCCCCCTTCCTGACCAGGCCATTTTTTGCGATACGGCGCTGCATTACTTTAACTGACAATTGCGCGATTATGCAACACTGTACATGAATTAAATCTATGTCCTTTTTTCCCACAAATATAGCTTTCTTTCGGTAGTATTTGATCACCTGTGCATTTTATATTTTTAAACATTTGAAAATTACCAAAACAATATTTTTGACATTTTGCTATAAAACATACGTAGTAAAAAAATTTTAAAAATCTAATTTCTTCATAAATTTAGGCCAAAACGTATTCTTCTACATGTCTTTGCTAAAAAAAAAATCCCAGTAAGTGTAAATTAATTGGTTTACGTGAATGTTATAGTGTCTACAAATGGCAGTACATATTCTGGAATTTTTTTTTATACTAGTAATGGTGGCGATCAGCGACTTATAGCAGGACTGCAGCGGGCATTCTGACATAGGGGAGGGACTGACTAATTGCCACTGACATCCCCAGTGACACTAATACAGTGATCACTGCTAATAAAAAGCACCAACACTGTACTAATGACACTGTGCAGGAAGGTGTTAACATCTGGGGAGATCAAAGGGTTAACTGTGTGCTGTTTTACTAATTGTGCTGTGTATTTTTTACTATGGAAACATACTGCTGTGCAGAAAAAATACACAGCAGCATGTTACTGCTTGCAGAGAGAGACCTGTGCTGTTTACACACAGGTGTCTCCCCTGTCAGTGATACTTGGCGATCTCCGGGTGCCAGAAGGGAATCTCTGGCTGGGACCCGGTGATCAACATCTGAAGCCGCCAATGGTGGTGTGGGTAGGGTGGTGCACTCCCGCTACCCAGAAATGCAAAATCACTTATAAATGCATGATTTTGCGTAGCCCTGCCACCCTGTAGCAGTAGTTCTGCTATAGGGCAGTAGGGAAGCGATTAATATAAACAATATTTAATTATCTTAGTCTGTCATAATTTTTAGTCTGTCATAATAGAAAACACTCAATAAGTATTCACGGCATGAGAGCATCAACTGTTAAAAGCACTAGATAAAGGTTATTTCAAATCATGTACAAAATAATTTTTATTGTGAAAATATCCACAAATGCAAAAAATATTTTCTCAAACACCCCCACAGGATTTATTTTCAATTAATTTGCAAGTGGTTTGCACATGGGTAGCTTGGCACTGCCATGTATTATTGCAAAATAACAAAAACTTTTTAATACAGCTTAAAGGGCAATTACAAAAATACACAATTCCCCTAAAATAGCATGCTTGGGGATGTCATCTCCTGATGTGCATTCAAAATCAATCACAATGAAAGGTGGCCTGACTACCCATCAACACGATAACCTGATCTTTTCCCATTACACTCCTATCACATGTGACAGGTCCCTGGCCAGCTGCTAAATGGTCAGCAACCAGCCAGGAATCCCAGGTGACATCAATGACCAAATATGATCATGACCATATTTGTTCAATAACATTACCTTTTAGGCAGGTGACTACAAATGCTACTGTTACTGCTATGTGTGTATTTTTTGTTGAAAACTGTTATGTTTTTGATATTGTACGTGGCTGTCCCTAGGACTTAAAGGATTACTGAGTATTCTTTTCTGTGAGTCATGCAGATATCCAGTGTTCACATGTTCTAGCTTTAGAAACATATAAATACAGGAGATCTGCATTGGACTGGACTGGCTGTAGGGCTGTGCAGGATGTAAAGGTTTTCCATTCTACAAGATACCTACAATGGGAACCCAGTTGGGTTTCTGGTGTATGGACTGAGCCAGTTATAGATCCTTTAATAATTTGAGGTATGATGCCCAAATTAGAGGTAGGGAACCCCAGGAGCAGCACTGCTACCTTGTGTAATGCAGTATTAGGACAAGTGATATTTTGAAGAGATTATTTGAAGAGATTATTATGTTATTATGGATGTAAAGAAGAATTTCTTAAGTATACTTACCATTCACTGGCGAATCACTGTTTGGTCCAAAAGTTAAACAAGGTTACACAGGGATGCATGGAAGGTGTATCACAGAACATAGTACATAATGGGGAAGACATCACAAAGTAAAGATACAGCACAAGAGACCCGTGCTCCACTGAATAAGCCTTTGTGAGTTGTGCCAACACTGCCAGTGAATCATGTACAAGAATCTACATATGAAAGCAGCCTGCCAAAAAGAAATTGGGGTGACAGGCAGAGGTCGCAGAAGTCCCCAGTAGTGAAGAAACCAGGGAGCTTGGGTTCCTTCGCTAAAAGTCAGTACCTCAACTTGGGTCTGACTGCAGTACAGAGTATCCTAAGAACCAAGCCGGAGAGTCATGGAAGAGAGAAAGCATTGTGGGAATAAAGCATGGTTCTGGGCTTCCTAGAATACATAGCGATGTAATGCTAAAGTGAAGAATATGTGTGAGATCTGAACAATTAAAGAGTCAAGTGTGATTAATGGTGTCATTGGGAAATGTGATGGGTAATGGCTGGTAGACTCTGATTGGTGCATACTATGTGACACCAGCTCAGAAATGCTGCACAATGTAATGACAGGCTGAAATCATGATTTTTGGCTGAAGTGTAAAGCAAGAGTAGAAGAGAGAAAGAGTTAAACTAAATGTCTATAAAGAAGGAAATTTCATTCATTTACAGAGAGTGCCTCCTTAAGGGCCACCTTGTGTGTTCTAGGTAAATAGTGCCTCTAGGGACATAAGTGTAGCACAACCCCCTTAGGGGTCGCTGAGTTATTTTCAGGCTCCCTGTCATTCTGGACCCTTCTCTGAAAGCCCAACTCCCACTGACACTACAGGATTTTTTTGACCAGAGTAAATTACTACCAGAAAATAGACTCACACACAGATTAGAGTAAACTGATATGAGGTTTATATTAAACTTCAATGCAAGCTTGGTTGAACAATACAAAAATGGTATTGATTACTCTTAGCAACTCTAAGCAAAAAAAAAAATACAGACAAATCTCAATCAGTATTAGCAGGCCTGCTTTTCAGACATTAATCCAATACCTTCAATCAACAATAGGACTATCTCACTTTGGGTCCTCAGAATCTGATGACAAGGTTTAAATCAGAGGTAAAAGAGCTCTTTGACCAGGATTCAGTGAGGTGTCTTCTGCGCGTTCGCTGGGGCCCAGTTGGTGCACAAGTACACTGTGATGTAGGTGTCAGTTCCTGACAGGATCAATACAAAGGGGAGGTAGTAGAATGGACAAGGACTACCCTTTTTCAGTGACACATGACTTGTCTATTATCTCCTTTGATGCGCTGGGAAAATAGCAGCTCTTAGGTAAAGAGTTAAACTGGTAAATGGGCTTGTTGGCAAAATGGCAACTACAATGCACTGCGGTCAGCTCTAATGAGCTGACTGTGCTGCAAATACATTCAAACAGTAGCGGCTATGGGAACTAGGCTGCAATACATGTTACCTCTCTTGTTTAACCAATAGCCGCCCGGCCAATAGCCCTTTGGTGGCCGGGAAAAGGCTGTAGATTTCCGAATGGATGCCATATGGCGTCCTCCCGCACATGCACAGTTTTTGCGCTTGCAGAGCCGCGCAGCGGCACGATCTGTCATCGGCCGTGTACCTCGGACACGGCTGATGACAGATCTGAGTACCGCCCCCCGTTGCCGGTACTATGTGAATAAAAACCCTGAATGAATCGATGTCATTCAGGTAAATGCTTGCTTATAGTAAAGTAATTCTTTGCTATAAGCAAATTGTGTAAAAAAAAAAAAAATACTGATCACTTCCCCAAAGTAGTACAATGTTTACTATGGTAACATTGTACTACTTTGGACATAGTGAAATATGAAAAAAAAATCTTAAAAAAAAGAAAAAAAATGTAATAAAAAATTAAAAATAATAAAAAAATAAAAAGTATATATATATATATTTTTTTTTTTTGCATACTGTCACCAGTCAGTGTCCCTGATCACCACCATGCCAGTTATATGATGATGCTGTACTGCACTTGTGACAGTATGTAAAAACAAATAGTGAAAATAATTTTTTTAATTTTTTAATTTTCCGAAAAATTATGACAAAAAAAATACAACTTCAGAAAACTCGCCATGCCTCTTATGAAGTACATCGGACTGTCTACTTTGCAAAAAGGGGTAATTTGGGGGATATCTGTACTGTTCTGACATTCTTGGACCTCAAGAAATTAGATTGGCTGCCAGTACTTCAGGATTGATCAATATTCAGATCTATCCCATAGGTTGTGAACTCTATAACTTTCCTACAAACTAAAAAAATACATCCTAATTTTCGTTATTTTCACCAAAGACATGTAGTAGAATACATATTGGCCTAAATTTATGAAGAACAATTATTTATTTGCATACTTTTATAACAGAAACAAAGAAAAACGTGGTTTTTTTTTCAACATCTTTGTTAATTTAGCAAAAAATAAAAACCCTGGCGGTGATTAAATACCACCAAAAGAAAGCTCTAGTTGTGTGAAGAAAATGGTAAAATTTTAGTTTGGGTACAGTGTTGTATGACCGTGCAATTGTCATTCAAAGTGTGAGAAAAATGGCATGGGCAGGAAGGGGTAAAAGTGCCCGGTATGGAAATGGTTAACTGGTGTATAGGACTCTCTCACCCGATTGGTGGCTTCCAGCTTGTCCTGGCTGTCTCTCTCTTGGTGAATGGAGGCCCCACAGGTTCTCAGGCCTCACTTGCAGTGTTCCATCTGGTCACCGCACTGGACATGTAAGAAGCTTTTTCTTTCCATTAAATTACACTTCACAGACTTCAGTCTTAAACTGATGAGTAAAATCTACAGACTTAAGGTGCCATTCACCCTTTATTCATTGCCATGATATTTGATTCACAAAAAAAGGAAATAAACAATTGGAAAAGAGGAGACCAATACAGAGTGGAAAAAAGGCATACTTCACCAGAGAGCGCTCATGTGACCCTTATGCTAATAACAGAGGGTCCATCTTGTCTGGTGAGTGTGGATAATGGAGAGGGTGCACAGATCACGGATCACATTTTGGTTTTGAGCACAAAGTCACTGTATGGTTTACACAGCATGGAGCACTTTACTGAGGAAGATCGAATTCAGAAGTTGCAACACTGTACTATATAATGTTTAATTGAACACTGATGGACACTTTATACTTACTTATTGTTTATAAGTACTGTTGAGCGTTGTGTTTTAATTGAATTCTATTAATTAGTGGTTTACACTTGAGCAGCAGCATCACTACTGATTATTGTTTATTTAGGTTGAGTATAGATATGTTATTCAGGCTGAATGGAAAAAAGCCAACAGATTCCTCAATTCACACAAGTGAGGTGGGTGGATAAATCCCACCCCACTGAGACATTCAGTTCTGATAGTGGGACTTTCTGTTGTCAGAATACACTGATCCAACACATTTATGTTTAAAGTGGTATTAAACCCCAAATCAAAAAGTGTTATTATACTGCAGTTTACCATTCATTAGATGTAGTGGCTGCATTAGTTTATTTTTCTAGGCTTTTTTCCCTCTGTTTTCACCTGGTGGTCTGGCCAGCTCCACCCTCTGTATTAGGGTGCTACACTGTAGCTGAAATAGCACAGAGGCACTTTTGGATAGCATCATTGTTATTATGGAGATTTAGCAAGGACTTGACTAACAAATTGAACCAAACTTCAGCTAACACTTTATAAGCAGTTACAGCAAACAGTTGTGTTCATTTTGGGATAAAGGTTTTACATAAATAAATAAATACACACATACATGCTGATCATTGTAAGCAATCCTGCAATCTGCTGGACAGCTTGTTCTGTTGAAAAAACAACAGACTTACTTGTTAGATCACCAGGTGAAAAAAAAGGAAAGGAA